CCCATATCATGCATCAAAATGGAGAATAACCTTACAAGTAAGGACTGCTGAATTCACACTGAAGTCCAAAGGGGCAGTGTACACTTTGCTTACTGGTGCATCGTGCATTTAGTCCTTAATGGAAATATCTGAGCATCTGCAAATGGGAACCTTGGCATGAGCCAGAGTTTGCTACAAAAGAACCTTGCCTTTGAGTGTTGCAAAGGTGTTCTGCTTTTTATTATCTTACTATTAATACACAACCGTCACCCAGTTTCTATTGTTCTGTGATTAACCTAAAGCTTGCACTTGAGTTAGCTGTGCTTTTGCTTATTCCTTACTTGTTCCACTGATATCTGCTGGTTTAGCAATAGGGATTAGTTTATCAGTTTAAAGACCAATATATTAGTTTAGCAAAAGGAATCAGTGAGTGCTAGTCTCAAAACTTTCAATTTTAACTTTGCTTGCTATGTGATCAGCCTTGTTTTTCTCAGTGATTCTGCTTCACAGGAGCACTGGTGTCGAAATAACTACTTTTATCTTTGCATCCATCAGGTGCAAGCACTTTCTCTTCAGATTTCACATACATTGTTTTGAATTAGAGTGCACTGAGATGGATCATTATGGCTCAACAAGCAATGGGAATTTGCCAAACTGGGAAAAAACAGCCAGAGGTCAGCTGAAATCTCTGTGCTGAAGCTGATGATGGAAAAATGGGGAGACAGTAAGTGGTCATACGACCAGCTTAGATGCGGCTGCACTTGCCCAGAGGGACATTAGCATATATTAATGAGTTCTTGGAAAGAATGAATATGTATGCAAATGTATTATATATGTATGTCTTAACCATTTAAATGTAGAACTTGAACTCTGAGAGTGTGTACTTGATGTGTCAAGTCACCTGGTATGTATCATAAGGAATAAAGGAATGCCACTTTCTTACATCCCATTGGTGCTAGAGTTTTCTTCCTGGATTTCAGGTAACAGTATGATCTCAGTTTTCACCTGGATGGTGCTCTGTCAGTTCAGGTTTTAGTTTGTGGCATTTTGTGAAATAATCATCACTACCAAAGCTGAGATGAAGTGTGAATCTGGACATTTTTTAACAGTTATAAATATGATTATAACTCTTGGTGAGAAGTAGCTGAAAACTATTGTTAACTGAGGAATTTTCTTCTGCCTCCTTTCAAAAGTTATGGCTCCAGGTGAAGCCATCACCGTGTTTGCAGTGAAGTAGTCTCTTCCAGAGGTGTGCTGAGAGGCTCTGGGTTATTTGGAGGTGTGGGCATGGATAGTGAGATACAGAAAGCCCATGTAGAGTGGGCTGGAGCACCTCTCCTATGAAGACAGGTTGACAGAGTTGGTCTCCAGGGAGACCTCATTGCAGCCTTTCTGCACTTCAAGGGAGATTACAAGCAGGAAGAAGACCCAGTTTTTACATGGTTTGTAATGACAGGACAAGGGGGAATGACTTTAAGCTAAAAAAGGGGAGATTTGGGTTAGATGTTTGGAATAAATTCTTTACTCAAAGGGTAGTGAAACACTGGAGCAGGCTGCCCAGAGAAGCTGTGGATGCCCTGTCCCTGGAGGTGTTCAAGGCCAGGCTGGGTGGGCTCTGGGCAGTCTGAGCTGGCAGGTGGCAGCCCTACACATATTAGGGTATTAGAACTGGATGGGCTTTAAGGTCTCTTCCAGCCCAAGCTATTCTATGATTCCATATAGAGTGCTTAATGTCATTCTTTCTTCAGCTCATGCAGCAAATACATATGCACTTCTATTATTTATTTAGAATTTTAATGTGAGGGTGATCAGACACATGCCTGATCCTGTTCTTTTACCAAAGTTTGCAACATTCTATAGGGAACTGCTGTGAAGCACGTTGTGCCAGTGACAGTCTTCAAGGAAGCCCATGTACTGAATTGTGACAAAGATGTTCCTTGAATCCCATTAAAGTAAATTCCTTCTGTTATATCCTTGGAATATATCTGTGCAGTGAGTAACTCCTCTCTCCAGAATTGCCTGAATGCTGCAGAGCAGCACTCGGGGGCATTAATTTGAAGTGCAGCAGTTGTTCACTGCGCTTAATTTGCCCCACCAGTATTTGTATGGAGAACAGCATCCTGGTGCCACATCTGTGACTAGCAAATAGCTAATAATCTTAGAATCATAGAATCATAAAATGGTTTGAGTTGGAAGGGACCCTTAAGATCATCTATTTCCAACCCCCTTGCTATAGGCAGGGACACCTCTCTCTAGACCACTTGCTCAAAGCCCCATCCAGCCTGGCCTTTAATGCTTCCAGGGAGGAGGCCTTATATGTACCTGTACATGGTCAAGGGAATTACCTCATCGTTTCTATTTTCATGCAGCTTTTTATTCTGTGGGGAAAAAATGCATTGTATATCACAGTGTCACACAGATGACACCAAAAGCAGATTGCTGTTTGCAATTAAAACACCAGTGCAAATAATAAGTAGTTTAAAAAATAACAAACTCTTATGTAAAATAACTAGATATGAGTGGATAACATATGAGCATATAGAAAATACTGCATGTCTACCAAGTCTATGAATTACAGACAGGAATATGCATAAACCCTCTTCTTTCTTTTTATCAACAGCAGAAAAATACCAAAGAGATTTGATTCTGTCAGCTCTTATGAAAGTAAACACTGATTTCTCAAGTTTCAATCCAAAAGGCAGCAGGAATTCATCTGGTTTAAGTTTTTTCCTCCCACTGGGATTTGGGTACCCATGTTTGTATTTTCCAATTATTATTTTTATGTGTTAGTATTGCCAAATCTTTCTGTGCTTGTCTCCTTCTTATTTAGATAACTAAGCAGATCCCCATAAATTTGATCTTGCCAATTAGCTGCTCAAATTTGCTATATGCTGCACAGATCAAATTGTTTCTCAGCTATTAGTCTGCACCGTTTGTTCCATGGCAATGCTGTGATTGCAGTTTACAAGCAAACAGCATTTCAACTCAGCAAAGAGCAAGATGAAGGTGTATTTTAAAATATGGGGAAGAGAAGAGGGGAAAAAAAGACTTTTTTTGAAAATCATAGACAAGTTTTTATATCATTTTAGTTGCTGTTGTTGACAGATGCTGATTAAGTATAACTGATTAGGAAATGAAAATGCTACGTTAATGCTGTGACAATTACTTTGGAGATGTCCTAATTACACTACTGCTCTTAAAGGTAAAGGTAGGCAGTATCTTCAGAAGAAATGGAAAGAACATCTCCAGTCTAGATTCTAGTTTGCATGGCTTCTCCTTCTCTTGAAGGGAGAAACAAAAGAAGGAAAGGCTGGTAGTAGAGAAACGAAGAAACTAGAGAGAGGTTAAAAACAGAGACCATATTGGGACATTGAAAGAAATTGATTTGCTGATAAGGGCATGAAGATTGCAAGTTTCAAAGGTTAATGCTTTATTGGTTTGCTTGTGGTTTCGTTTTTGGTGATGTGCCCAAATCAACTTCCTACTTTGTCACCTAAAAATCAATTTATAGTGTGTGCACATGAGGCAACGGAATGTGATAAAGTTGTACCTGAATTAGAGCCAGAACATGAGGTCATGTAACCACTTTGGCTTGACACTGTCGCTGAAGTAATTAGCCCTGATGAGATGCTCATTACTTTGGATGCATGGCCATAGTAGCACAGCTGCAGTGCTTAAGGATCCAAGCCACAGTCTGCAGATGCTGCTGTCTGTACTGTGCAGAGTCAGTTTGGGATTCCTGAGCAGGACAATCCCTCCTGGACTTCTCTCTTGCATTATCTTCATTCTCAGATTCCCCCCAACCTGACAAGCTGTTAATCATTTTCTGATCACTGAGTCCCACCTGCCCCATTCATCAGTCCTTGGCAGTGCTGAGGACACATCTTCCACTTTCAGAGGACTGTTGCAAGTAGTTCCATAGGAACTCATGCCAGCCAAAGGCACAGAAGGCAAATCTGGTGCCTCCGCTTGATCAGAAGCATCCCAGGGAGCTGAACATAGATGAATGGCTAAACAGATAGTTGTGGCTCATAGGTTACATCCTCAGTACTTAGGATATTTGAGTCCTCTTCCCCACATTCTGACACTCGCACATTGCAGAATGACCCATTTTATTTGGGGTTTTTGGCTTCTGATTTTTTACAGAATGTGAACAGTCTCCTTATCACCAGTCCAGACAATGCTTTTCCTACAACTTTTTCCCTCTGTCACATCCCATTAATATACTACGGGAGAGATGAGGAGGAAGAGCTGCCTTTCTTACAAAGATATCTCCTTTCTCCTATCTTCTTGTATCCCAACCATTTGTCTTGGAACTACTTCTAAAGTACATATTACAATTGTCACACTTATACTACCCAGTAAATTCTCCTGAAGCATCTCCACTACAAAGGCAACCCCACCACAAAGGCACCAGCCTATTCTTTAAGCAAAATCAATTATCAGCTCCAAATGCATATTTATATGCATTTATATATGTATTTATATGAATTTGTTTCTGAACTTTATGCTTATGACCATCCCACTGTCATGAATCCTGTCCCTAATGCAGAATAATGACTTATTTTGGTTCTAAACTGTTCTCTAACACTTCTTTACTATTAATTTACTCATTTGTGACAGGAGGTGATGAAATCTTCTGAAGGTAGGCTTGAAGTGCTCTGTGGAACGAGTTTCATTTTGCAGAGAGAAACTGCATGCTGACCTAAAGTCAATTGCACACAGTAGCAGAGCAGCTTGCAGGACATGTCTCTCCATGGCTGGGAAAAGCTTTGTTAGGGAAGCTCATGATGTAAGGAAGTTCTTATCACTGTATATAAAGAGGGAAGAACTTGGCCCAAGGAATGTCTGATCTGTACACACACACCTTGTCACCCCACCGTGCTGATGCTTTGTGTACTAAGACCTGGCACTTCTCCAAGGAGGTGTGTCAAAGGTGAAGGAACATGGCACGGAGGCATCCTATTGTGTTGTAACCGTCTTGCTGGAGCCCAGAAGGTGTGTCTCTGCCCTTATAAATACCGCACTGCCTTTACAAGCAGCTCCAGTCCTTCTGAGAGAGACGAGCTGCATCCTGAGTGAAGTTTGGATACCTCTGGCTCCTGGGCAAGGTATTTATTTCAGCTATCTTACTTTCACACCGTTCTACTTGTAACTGAAAGTTACTGCCACATCATTAGTTGTTTTAATTTTCACTTGTTGCGTATTTTTAATAACTGCATATTTGTAACTACCATGGGGTGTTTTCTAAAGAGGGTTTCATGCTGTGAAAATCTCTTTGAATAGAATAAGGCAGCGAGTCAGGTAAGAGCTACACAGAAGTGGGACCTGCTCACGTCTGCTGCTATCTATGTGTTCTATGTGCAGAAAGTTGAATGCTGAAATGGACTCCTTATTAGCATGCCTCCACATGAATTTCTGCTTTCTAACGTGGCAACTTGGCTGCCGAAATGTGTGTGATGGAAACATCTGAACAGTACACTTAGCACACTAAAAGCCACATTTAACCTTCAGCTATTATGGTGTGCTCCACCAGAGCTTTGATCCTGAAAGCTGCTTCACAGAGGGAAACACCTACAGAAATAAATGCATTCTGTACACAGCAGCTTTAGGCACATCCAATTGTACTACAGGTGTCTTCAAAAGCAAAAAGCAGTTCTGTTTGTGCAGTAGGCAAGACAAGAAAAAAATGCATCTGTAGTTACTTTTCAGTTTATGAAAAAAATATTTTATTTGTAATAGAAAGCTCTTACATACCAGCGTACCAAGTGAATTAAGAAAATTTACAGGATGCCTAGTAAATAATTATGCTCTATTTCTATTTAGCACAGAGGCTGGAGTCAAAATGACTCATGTGACATTCACAAAATGGGAGATCGTGGACATAGCAGCAGCTTTGTATGGCATAGCTTCAGATATCCATCTCAAACTGACAAGTCCTGTGGCCAAATTCTGTCTGGGATTGCAGAAGGGATTGCAATAAGGGTTCCTCAGTTACTAGGCAGGAGTGTATCTTGGTAAAGAGTCTCTTCTGTTTCACACCGTTTGGATATAATAATATGTAATGGTTCTAGAAACCAGGTACTGTGCACATGGAGGACAGAGGATCTTCCCAATAACATCAAAGAATCATAGAATCATTGAGACTGGAAAAGACCTGTAAGATCATCTAGTCTAATCATCCATCTACCACCAATACTTCCCACTAAACCATGTCCCTCAGTGCCACATCTCCATGTTTCCTTAACACCTTCAGGGATGGTGACTCCATCACCTCCCTGGACAGCCTGTGTCAATGCCTCATTGCTCTTTAGGAGACAAAATGCTTCCTAATATACCACCTGAACCTCCCCCCTGGCAGAGAGGTTCTAATAGGTATCGTTCTAACAGATATCAAGGAGCCAGTCTGAACTCCTGCAGCTATCAAATAAAGTCCAGTAGGAAGTGAAAATGTTTTAATGACTGTATGTTTTTGTTTTGAAGGCAAATAACGAGCAAAACATGTGGATTAAAAATGTTGGACTCCTGTGTGTGTTGATTCTTGTGTCCCAGATGCTACTCACCAGCTGTGAAAGGCAGGAGAGAAGAAAGGGGAAACAAGGCATAGAGCACGGTGGGAAAAAACAGACTGAATCAAACCCAGAGAGAGAAAAAGGGCGGAAACCAAAAGGAGGAAAGGCATCTCCTAAAGGCAAATTTAAATCCAAAGAAAATGCTGACTGCACCTGGGCGGTGACCGACATGAGTGCTGCAACTGTGCACATTGAGTGCAGGAATGGGGACAGTGCGTTCTGGTGTGAGTTCTCAGGGGACCCCTCCACCTGCCCACACTATGCAGCAAATCAGAAGTCCTACTGGAAGCAGGTCTCCCGCTCCCTGAAGAAGCAGAAGCAGATCTGCCAAGACCCCAGGAGCATGCTAAAATCTAAAATATGCAGGAAAAGCCCACGAGGCGCTCACCTCAAGCTGACACGCTCAAGCCTCCTGGCAGCAGAGGGCCCTGCCAAAGAGCACCCAGCTCACCATGCTGCAGAGGATGCCCAGGTCCCAGCAGCTTCTGAGACTGGAAAACAGCCAGAACACAGCCCTCCAGACTGCGTGGAAGACGTAGATTACATTGATCAGAAGAAGGTGGCTGAGGAATACTGCCCAGAGAGTTTGCTGTCTTTATGCAACTTCTTCATCACCATGGTGCAAGACAAAAAGTGCTGAGGATGTGTTTGTAAAGTTCCGCATCACAACAGTCTGATCTCACCGAAATTACTGCAAACTCCCAGGTTTTATTCTCCTGTTATATAGTGTACATAGGAAAAAAAAAAGACATAAAACTGTATATTTATATATTTTTCAGATCTTGTTTTTACACGACAGACGACACTTGGTACAGTTGAAGATGTTACAGATTTCATTTGCACACATGTTTCTACATAAGCATTACCTGTTGATGTTACGTACTCTGCACAGAGGTATCTAAGCAGTCTCTTTGCCCCCCTTTGAGCTGTGCTAGCCAAAGGGATGACTTTGGTGCTATGCACTCCTCAGTTATGTACTCTGCATTTGACCTAAAAATTACTAAGAAAAATAAACTTCAAGATATATTTAAAGTATTCTCTGTGTGTTGAATTAAACTTCTCTGGAATTGCTGAGCTTTTCTGAAAGGCTGATCATTCACAAGACCAAGGCAAAGTATTGCCTATACAGCTGTTTTAACAAAACTTCTGCAGCTTTGCAGAATTCAGCCAGAGCATTCAATGATTTTGTTTGAGGGAAATAAACTATTATTTGTTTGCAATCATCATGATAATGAAGGGTGGCAGGATTTTCATATTTTCATAATTTTACAAAAAAATTTTGGTTTTCCCAACACATCAAAAGATGACAGAAAACTTTGCAAACTTCAGTTCTTTCATTTCTCCTATATTATGAAACACGTTTTACTTTTCTGTGGTAGGGAAACTGAGACACAGAGATTAAATGGCCTGCCCAAGATCACTTCTGTTGCAGGGCTGAACTCTTCCTCCAGCAGCTGAAGAACTTATGCTCACTGCTGCCTCTGTATTTCTTTGAAGTTCCATTGCTTGCTCCCTGCATATATGGAAAACACTAATAAATCCTTTTCCATGTGTTAGACTTCATCTGTATTTAAAAAATATTAATAATAATCCAATTCTACAAGAATAGAAATTTTAGAAAATTTCAAGCCAAATGCTGACAGTTGATCTTTGGAAACATTTAAAACTTCAGCTGAAAGAAAAATGTGCAAGTTACACTTTTCTAGTGGCAGTAGGCTGGAAAGGAAGGTCTGCTGCCACAGTGAAAAAACTTCCTTGAAATACAATTTCCCTGATAATTCCTAGCAGATTAACATAGCATTTCTGCCCCTTGAGAAAATAAAACCCATTCCTTTTTGTAATTATCTCTCTGCTAAGACCTGGGCTGACCCCAAAATTTTAAAGAATATTCATAAGATGAGTTGTTATGAGTAACCTTTTATTTAAATCAATATGTCTGGGGAGGATGTTTTAATGCTGCTCTGGCGAGTTGCTACATTCAAGACAAATGTCTTGAATGTAGGATGCTGCTATTAGTCAAACTGTGTTATTTCAGAAGGATTCAGCTGTATTTTAGTTAAGTCCAAATTAGAAGAAGGAGGTAGATACTTCTTACTGAAGTTTGAGCCTCACATGCCTTGTGGATACAGGGGGGTATTCCCAGGCTGTCTGGTGCAAGTATTGTTAGACCAATGCCCACAGTAAAGCAAAATTTCCATAAAGAGGCATCAGTGCTATATTCCAAGTAGACTGAAAGACACAGCCATTCCAGTGCCACATTGGGTGGAAAGCTAGCTACCCACTTCTTATTATTAATGTAGATATGCAGGTATGGAGTTTCAGCTTCTAGAAACGTTGTGTTTCAGCCTGCACCATTTCACAGTGGAAAAATGCTGAAATAAGGCCAGAAGATGCAGAGGAAGGATGAGTAGCACACATATGGCTCAGCCAACCATATATTGTAGCAATTAGTGACAAATATCTAATCTAGTATACAGCTACCAGTATAATAACCTCAGATTACAACCAGAGCTCTAGACAAGGCTGAATTAAGAGGCTCAGTTGTTCCAGATACTTTGGAAAAAGTCCAGTCCTAACTACCCTTAGCTGCTGTTACCCTCCCAAGTACTAACATCAGCAATTGGTTGCCTGAAGCGTGATCCACCCCTTGGGATCTCCAGGAGGCACTGCTCAGCTCTGTGGCTGTTGGCCAGCCATGCACATGGAGCCAGTGACATATTCCCAAAGCAAATTCCAGCCCCAGATTCCGGAGCTGTGACTGTGTCTCTGCCTGCTGGACTGTCAGCACGTGTGAGAGCTGCACTCTCCTCTCCAGGGATGAATGACATTGTGTTCCCGTGTCTTCATTGTCTTGTTTTCTTCCAGGACTGACTGCTACCCTCTTGCATGGATCTTTCCAGAAGGAAAACACTTGAATCTTAGCAGTTCCAGGGTGCATTTCAGCTGAGATGTATGGGATTGTTCCAGTACCCCAGAAGGACTACAACGTCATGGGCAGCCATAGACTTCAGTGACTACATAGACTACAGATCTACAGTTAAGTGCATCTAAGCTTTCAGCATGCTTAGCAAACCTTGTGTTTCAGTCATGCATCTACAATCACTTGACTACAATTGCTGGGAGCTGCTCTCTTCTGAGCATTTACAGGGCCACTTGGGTTGGTATAACATTGGTCCTTCTAGAGTCAAGCAGGTTAAATAAATATTTTCTGGCATTCACCTTAGGGTCTATGATCATTCTGAGAAACTTCACCACTGACTCTACTCTGCATATCTTAGTGGTGGTACTGAATTTTCTAACACCATCTTTAGCAGAGCAAGAGGGAAAAAATGGATTTAAATTATGCCTGTGCAGCCTAGGACTTCTGCACCTTTCAACCTTCAACAAAGATCAGAGAAACTAAGAGTTAAAAGGAGACTAAAAACATCGAAGTTAAGCATTTTTTGGAAGATATTTGCTAGTACTTAATAGTCTTATCTAGGAAATCTAAGATGTAATTCTATATTCACTAGGAAATAGGGGGATGTTATTAGTGAACAACAAATAGCTCTGGCAGTGCAGCACAACTTTAGACTTTGTAAAATTTCAGCTCCTTTAATTTTAAAGTTTCTATTCTTTCATTATTTTCTGTAGTATATATTTCACACACACAATCTCATTTTAATGAGTTTCCGCTTCTTTTGCAACCTCTTTTATTCGTTTACCACTTTGGCAGCAGTACAGGTTACACATCTAATCTCTCCTGTTTCACGGCTGCTTGTAGGAGAACAGAGCTGGGTGAGTCAACTTTCCTGCTCCCAAGAGGGCCCTACCCTCCTCTTTCCCTGAGGGGGCCAATGAGTACCTACCGCCTGATATCACCTCACCTGAATTTGGCCAACCATTGCAGAGACTCAGTGTTCAGACATGACATATTTTACACTGCTGTGCTCAAGTCATGTAGGCATAGTTCAACCTAGATAACAAATTCCACTCCCTTTTCCACTTTTACCTGGTTGTTTTTTTTGTTGTTTTGGTTTTTTTGTTTGTTTTTTTTTTTCTGATGCTGCCCTGAGCAAGGCAGCTCCGTACTTGTTGGTAGCTGCTGCGCCTCACCCATGTCTTTCCCTGGATCTCATTCCATTTCAATATATTTTATTGTGTGTTCCTCTAGGCTATTTCCAAGAATGGCAACGATTTGTTTAGCACACTGGGACTTGATCAAATAGGAAAACCCATCTTCGAGGCTATTCCAGCAAAAAAGAGATTTGCAGTCTTGTCACCAGGGTAGTGGTAGCATCTCCTCCCTCACTAGAGCACATATAGCAGCACAGTTGGTAGTCTAACAAATCCTATTGATCTCAAGACCATTGTAGGTATTCCTGTGTTCTAATATTTTTCAGTGTCTTTCTGCTCTTTCCCTTGAAAGGACGGGGTATCCCTGAAACCCACTTGCAATCGTCAAAACCCTCAAAGAACCAGAGAGGAGAAGTCAGTGTTACAAGAACCTTGACTCTCTTTGAGTGATAAGACGTGGAAAGATCGAAGTTTCTAAAAATCACTCTGGTGCCTCACTTGCTCCTTCCATTGTCATCACAGCTGTGAGACAATACAGGGATTTGTGTAAGCAGAAGGGACTGGCCATGTCACAGATCATTTTACTTGTTTGTAGAACTACTGCTAGCAGAAACGTATGCATTGGAGTTGAAATTCTCTCTTTAAAGAGGACTGATGTAACAGGTTTCTCTGGAAATGTTCTCCTATCCATGTGAAGTATGTGTTTCATACCATTACTGGAACTTCTTCCAGGCTGCTTGTAGATTCCACTTGAAAGAGCTGTTTTAAGGCAAAGAAGTGGTAAGCAAGAAGTGACAGAACTGTGAAGACTTCCCTTCAGCTTGTTGCCACCCGACTGCCTCAGTCACTGATCAGATCCAGCACCACGTAGAAATGATAAGTTTAATTATTCTGAAGCTTCCAGGGGACCATGGAAGCATTATGCTGATTTGCAGGCAACAAACAGACACATCAAAGGGACCTCGTTATATAATGAGAGACTGCAACATGTCCAAAGCTGCCTGTGAGTATGCACATGTAAGCACTGTGGTGCTTTGTGTATGCAAAGGGAGAGGAGCTAATGTTAAGATGGATCCTAAAGTCCAGAAATTACAATGTTATCTGTAACAGCAATGTATCCTATACATCAACGATATGTGTATTAATTACATATAATAAGTCTGCTTAGATAACAGGATATTTTAAAAATAATGAGTTATGTTTACATCTGTTGCCTGAAAGTGACGTGGTTTCTGGAGTCACTGAGAGAGAGGTGGTGTGATTCTCTGGAAAATCTGGGAGTGCTTTTGGGCTGTTCCACAGCTGCTGCTCCTATTCCTTGTTCCAAAGGGCCCTCTCATGGATGACTGCATGTCTGCAGTGCAGGCTTCCAGGACATTTTGTCTTATATGGCTCTCGGTATGAATGTGGTCGTTGCCCAGCATGTATGGCAGCCTGTAGACCTTAGGTCCTGCAGAGTGTGTTCCAGTCAAGTGTTGATCGCAGAGATCCTTTGTTCCTCATTTACATGTTCAAACAACACCAAAGTGAGCTAAAGCAGCCAGTTGGTGGACAGAAAAGTTGGGACACTAGGGGATGTTGGTTTGTATATGACATTGTATAAATTCATTGAGCATCCAATGAGCAAAGCATTAGGGATTGCATGGACTGCTGCAGAAGGGCTGCTGGAGCTGGCAGCAATCCATTCCCATTAACAATCA